TTATTTATGTTAAACGTTATAGTTCTCGTTCCCGGAGAACTATTATCAAGAACAAAAATATTTGTATTAACTGAACAGAAAGTCTCTATGGAAGGTATTTAATATAAAAATCTGATGATTTTAACTAAATGCCCTTTGGATATCATAGGAAGCATAAGATTCCTTATGATTGCTTTATAACACATGCCTATGGAACTATTAACTAGTTCGCCTGCGAAAACTTATTTCAGTCTTAAAGACCAAAATGTTTTTATCAAGACTAAAGGCCACGACAGACTATAGTATATTTGCTAAATAGTTTAGAATAGAAGATTGTATACGCAAAACAGACGAATCCCAGCAGAATACTCTGTTTATTATAATCATCACAGACGCCCCAAAGGTTAATGAGAGATATAGTTAGCAAATTTGAGAGATAAAGGTGTATTATCACGTCTCAGTCGGGTACGGATAAATAAGTTAAAAAGGCTAGCTATCCAGAGGAGTAGAATTTGCATGAAATTAACTTTTGAATAAATAAAATTTAAAAACAATAATAATGAACCAAGCATAATTCTACGGTTAATTAAAGAGGAAAAATCGACTGGCTCGGATCTTAGTTTAATCCAAGCAGAGTTTTATAAACTCAAGAGATAGTGTCTATGAAAGGAATTTATATAAATGATAATATTTATTACCATAAAAAGGAATTGGGATATCTAATAAGCATAAGAGTAAATAATGCTAAAACCTAACGACGACAGCTATAATATTATCTGCCCGATTATGGATTATGGTTTATATGATACAAAAAGTTTTGAACGCAAAAACTGAATTTTGTGAAGATGTCAGCTATATGATATAGTTCTTCAATCTGGCTGATTGTAGATTTTACTTTCATATAAAACAAAAAGTTTTGAATATAAAATCTCAATTTCATAACGATTACTGCTTTATGATAAAGTATTTCCATCGGGCCAACGTTAACATATATGCTATCAGCAGCAAATATAGCTTTATGCAAACTTTTAATCATTTTGCTTTTCAGACTGACAGAGTTGACAACTTTCTTCCTGCTCAAGCATATATCTTACTTATATTTTCTCTAATAGCCTCTGTCGGGCCATTAAAACGGATTTGACGTGTATTTGCCACAATCACAAATCGTTTCGTTTTTGGGTCTGCCCCGAAAACGTCCAACTGCATTCATATGATTAACATCAATCAGGGCAGAATACAGGGTACGCGGTACGGGGGTGGGGTTGCACTCGTACTCGCACTCGTAATTAAAAATCAATCAGCGTGTGACATAAAGCTCAGTGCCGGACAGCAGATAGGCCGATAGGCATGGCATGGCTACTTACTCACTCGACCGCTAGATGGCGTGTGCTATACGATTCGATAGTTGGGTCGTGGCCCACAAATTTGAAATGTTGGATTAAGTCCGGTTCAGCTGAGATTCTGGGCTGGAAGCGAATTGTGTTTGTGCCCGACTGGCAGAGAACTCAATTGAGACACAGATTGATGAAAATTAAATGTCAAGGAAAATTGAGCTTAGGTAACATTAGGAAAGAGAAGGAAAATTAAATTGAGATAGGTTGCTTCGTATGAAGCTTCTATCAAATTATGTCAATCAATATAATGGTCTAATTGAGCTTAGTTTAAAAATAAAACAGTGTATTATTCGTTCGAGTTAAGTTGGCTGCGCCTGAGTATTTAATTTCATCATTTAATCTGGCAGCACTGTGAGTTAAGTAGGCTGCGCTTTAATATTTCATTACAAAAATTAACCTTACGAAATAAACTCTTAAGCATTAACAAATGAAATTTCTAGAACAATCAAAACCTGGGCCTGGCAAAGAGAAACAAAAAATATGAGACAAATTCAGAATTCATATACAAGACTTCTTTCTGATTTTACATAGTATACTTTTGGGGGTTGGTTAGAGTTAATCAAAGCTGAATGTCTGTAATTTTATTAGGCTTCAAAACAAATACACTTTTTCCTTAAGCATCAAAAGCAATATTCAATAAATTATTACTGCTATATACTTGAATTATTTGTGTAATCATTTTGTACATAATTTAAGACGAGTCGACCAATATGCTTAGCAATTGCAATCCTTATGGATTACAATTAGGAAATTACCTAAAAGCCCCGCAGTCTGACATTTTCAGAGCGCGTCGGAGGCATTCAATCATTCGGTTTCGACTTTGGCTTTGGCTAACGCCTACAACACACATCAAAGTCTGTGTTTATGCCAGATTTGACTGACAGTTCTTCACGGTGCTTGGTGCTTGTTGGTTGGCTGCCTCAAGGGCCCGACCGACAGTCGGCTGGTATTTATTTGTTTATGAAATGTTAATTAGCTGCAATAAACCTGACGAAACCAAAAATGGAATTCTTTACACAGAGTTAAGACAATGGCATGTTGGGCGCATGTTTTACCTAAAATGATACACACAAAACTCGGTTTATTATCATTTTCACGCCTGTCGGAGCAGTAACCTTTTCCGTCTGACTCTCTCGGCTCCGATACGGTGACAGCGATTCAACCTTAATCATCGCATTGGGTTTTATTTGCAACATTGGAGACCCCAAAGAAATAAAAAGAGTTGAAATTGTTTCCATACCCTTCTAGAGGGTTCCTGAATTATCTAACGCATCATGTTACATGTTCATGACAATGTATGAATATACACTACGCACATATATATTTCTGATCAACATCAAATGTTGAATCATGTCCGACTATCCTCAACTGATGGAAACTGAGGATAGATAAATGTATCTTAAATCTGTTATAGCATCTTTAGGATCGAGAACCGAGTTTTATTATGATCAAAGTTTCCCCATTTAACATACTTTGACCAAACCTCTAGATATACATTTTGTTTCCGCATCGACACCTTTTTAAAACGAACTAGAAGTTCATAAAGCTCCTGTCTGTGGTTAGAAATACCGAAATATTTCATTGTAGTTCTCCTTTTGCCTCTGAGGGTATTTAATCTATGGCCGACCCCAAAGATAACCTTTTTTCCTTGTCTTATTTTATTTTATGTCCTTATAGTTGGCACTCGCATTGTCCAGAGGCCAAAGCATAAACAGATCAATAAAACAAAACAAAGTTTTTGGGGGAAAACTACTGGCAAGAGCAAAGAACAAGCCCCAAAACAGAGCAACTGTCGCAGTTCCCATGCAAATTTCGCAAGCGTCCCTTAGTAACCCCCCATACACCCTCACATCCCCCCCTTGATTTCCCTAGTTCCCGTCATAACTGTGGCCATGTCTATTTGTTTGTACAAATAATGTGTAAGCAGGCATATTTTTGTCAACGAGGCTAATTTCAGTCAGAGATTTACGTGACAATGGCCCCCGGGCCATGCTGAAACTGTGAGAATTCCGACAGCATTCTTGGGGAATTCCAACGGACGGGGGATAGGCTATAAGAAAAGCCGAAAAAAATGGAATTGCCAACAACAATATTCCACACAGCTCGACACAAAAACAATTACAAAACAAGTTCCATCAAAGCGCTGCTGCTTTTTGTGGGTTCCTCTTGGTGAGGGGGGGAGGGGGGCAGCGGGCAGCGGGGCTACATACTAAACCAGAGGCTCGTCTTCGTCGTTTTGCGGCCAGTCAGTCGGGACATAAAAAGAAATATAACGGCAATGGCGTAGAGGTAGGCCGTGAAGAAACATCAACAAACTGGGTTAGGTGGCGGGATGTGTGTTGCGCCAGGTTGAGTAGTTGCATGTGGGCGTGGCAGTGGGGGCACGGACAGGCACTCCTCCATTGTTACCGGCAGGTACGTCTCTGTTACATTGTTTTTTCTTCTTTTTTTTTCCTGCACCTATGTTAACGCTGCGCCTCTGCAAGGTACTTGTTGTCTCTGCTGCTCTGCTGCTCTACTCTTGGTTATTGTATTCTAAAATGAATGTATGACACATATTTCAGTCAGCCAGTCCACAAATGCGTTCCACTTTCGATGATAACTTACAAGCCCCAAGACCTGAGAGCAATCACTTGACTCTTATATGTCATATGTCATGCATATTGGGATTAATTCAGACAGACATCCATCCACACAGAGATTTCAACTGGATAAATACATTTATCACATACTATCCAAATGTCATGTATCGGATGTAATTCAAAGAGACAATCGCAAGAGATATTAGCTGGGAAAATTTTTGTAAGTATTACAAATATTATTCGACTGTTCCTATATCTCTTTCTATATATATGTATCTCTTTGGGTTTGATTTTTAAAAATTGTGTGCGACACGTTTTGAGTTATTTATTTTTTATTTTATACCTTCTATATATTTTCATTTTTGATAAGCCTAGCACATGTCTTGGACTTCCAGTTTCAAGTTTCTTCTCAATTTCCAATCAAGTATAAAACACATTCTTAGAACATTCAATGCAACATACAACCGTTATAGCACAACCTTTCACCTATGCCGAGCCAGGGTCGAAACGCCAACCCTCTCCCGTTAACTCCCGTTAAATATTTGCCCTGATCCTGCACACGCAGGCTGAACAGTTCTATATATAAACGTGTCCCTTGTGATATGAGCATTTCATTCATTTTTGTGCATCACCGTCCCCCTCGCCCTCGCCCACACCCTTGCCCGGACCACTCGCACTCGCACTCGCACGTCCGCGTTCAACGCTTGTTTATTGGCTGACAAGTGCTGTGCGTCCGGCTACTATTGCGGAAATGAGCAAATGACTAATGACTGACCAAGAGTCAAACGCCTCCCACCACACACACTGGACAAACACAAACCCTCCCCTGCCCCCTTCCCCTTCCCTGTCCACCACTCACATCACAGTTGGTGGCTTGTAGAGTGCGAACAAGTCGCTTGCTGTGTGCATTGCGCTTCAATTAAAGGAACGCAGGAAATTGAACTTTTAGCAGAGAGCTCATTGAGTAGTGGTAGATGAGGGGGGCGGTTAGAGTAACAGCATCAATCGTTACGTTACGTTCTGTTTATCGTTAAGTTGTACCTACTTGTCGTTTAGCTGGTTGGTATGGGCTGGTTTATGCTTAATGCAAGACGCGCGTATCCGTATCCAGTTGTTGCATACAGTACAAGTATTTAAGTATGGGCTGCTGTTACAGTTTTAAGAGCACTTCACTTTAGCACTTTACACTTGCCAACAAGCACACGCACGCACACGCAAACACACGCACACGCACACAAAAACAATAATCACTCTGTGTGCCTTGAAATATCTTGTGCGATTTCTTTGTACCGTTACAACTGCAACGACACGTTTCACGTTTTCACGCTCGCCGCATGCCGACGAATATGACGCGCGCGCCTACGTCCACGTCTACGTTTCAGGCTACCGCTACCGCTGCCGCTGCCGCTGTTGTTGTCTCGCCAAATAACAAACGTGCACTGACACATCCGCACAACATTATGCGCATTTTATGGCCGACGACCTTCGCCATGGACTTCGGGCGCTTTTAGTACACCCACGAAGCTAAAGTCGAAGACGCAGCCGAACAACATACAATAAGAAAAACATTGGCCTAGGCGCGCAACAGACGAACGGTAAACGTGCCAAAAATGCAATGAGCCGCATTTAAAGCGTACGAGAGCGTACAACAGCAGCTGAGAGCGTCCGAGAGAACGCCAAACTAAAACTGAAGAGCGCCGGAGCATGCGCATTAGGCAAATAACTGTTAAATATTAGCAGCTGGCAATGCTGCGGCATAGCATCGGACTGAAATTCAAAAAACCGGACACTGATTTGACGACGCTTTGACAATGAAGATGAATGAATGAGTGGTGTGGTGTAGACGGGGGGTGTCTGTGGATCATTGTGGTTGTTGTTGATGTTGATGTTGTGTTTTTTGTGTGCCCTTTGACCGCAGGTACCGGCCGACAGCTAATAAACTCGAAAACCCAAAATGTTCGTCGAATTTATTGTAAAACATTTCTAGCCCCTGGCACTAAGACTGACAAATGGCCACGCACACAGGCAATTTGCAAGTCTCCCCCCTCTTCCATCCCCCTCGCTTCACTCTTACGAAACAATCCTCATCCTACTCCACAGCTAACCTAACCTATAAAGTTTATGCTCGTCTTTTGGTCATTGCATGTTTTATGCTCAGCCATTTGTTGTTGCTGCTGCTGTTGCTGTTGTTGTTGTTGTTGCTTGGTTTTTAATATACAATATTAGCCGGTAGTGATGTTTCAATTAATTTTTAAGGAGCAGCAGAAGCAGCAGCATCGGTCAAGAAATAGAGCTCCCCGGCCGAGCTCAGGGAGAGAAACTTCTAACCGCATGCTAAGATATGATGGCAGATGCCAGCAGACAAATAAATGGCTTGCTGCAAAGGGTAAATTTTTCATAGTTGGGTGGCTCATCGAATTGGGGCAAAAGAAATTGGGCTCTGAGCTGAGGTGGAAATTGCGGTTTGGCGTGTTGTGCGGTTAAACTGCGTTGGACAAGCAGCTACATTTCAAGACTTTAAACAACTTATTTGAAAATTGGCAACTATTTCCGAGTGCTTAAATTTATCGCCAGGCAGACAAAATGGCGATACCATATGGCAATACATTGACCGAGGCGAGTATTTGACCAGACCAAAATATTCAATCATGGAGAGTTTCATTAAACTCTGCGGTAAGAAACTTTAGTAGATAACTAGAAAATAGCTGCTATTAACGATATATCATTGGATAGTATGGATGACATATATATTTTCTTATCTTTCAGGCGAAACGTTTACGTAACACTCAAAGTTGTCAAAGGACAGAAAGTTTACTTTTTCAGACAAATATGAACAGAACAGAACAACGTATAAAGATTATAGTTAAAGAGGTTTAAGATCTATCGTAAGTTAAAAACATCTAAACGTAGCTATTGTCGCCGTGTAGCAACATATTTCTATCTTCCAGGCGAGATGCTTTCCCGTGCTTAAGAAGTGTATCAAAGTCAACTGTCAAAAGATAACTGTAAGATACTTAACTGAAAGAAAAGCTTTAAGAACAGCTTTAGGGATGAATGTGGTTTATTACTATAGCTAATCTATCTTCCAAGCGACAAATGCTTTTAGCACAGACAAAAATCTCTATTATCACCTATTTTCGATTTCCCAGAAATGTCGCAAAAGTGAGCTGTGTCTCAGAGCTGTTTGATAGGATATTCCCTATCCTATCAAAGATTACCGTAAAACCACAAAAAAATATATATATAAATAATTCTTGATCTTATAAATTACCATGGAACCAATACTCGTATCTTGTAAGTGCTAATACGCATGGGACTACATATTAGCAAATACCCTGTAAAAATATTTATAGTGTGTTTCCTATTTCTTGGTATCCTATATTTACTAAGGCAACAATACTCGTACCTTTGAAGAGCTAATCCTCAGCGGGTCGAACATTTGCAAATACCCCGAAAAGTTATATATAGTGTGTTGAGTACTTTTTCATCATATAAAGTTCAATCTTATATTTACTAAGGCCCCCATACTCGTATCTTTCATACGTTTGAAAATACTGAAAAAAAATATTTATAGCATGTTGCGTATTTCTTGATCCTATAAAGTACAATCCTCCACTTACTAACTCACCAATACTGATACCTCTTAAGAGCTAATCCTCAGCGGGTCACACATTTTGCAAATACCCTGAAGCTGCAGCAATTTTTAGTCAATTGTGTGTCAGCAGCTGGACGCGCCGTGTAGAAGACAATTTAAAACTCTCACTCAATATCTGTATTTACCTCTCTCTCTCTCTCTCTGTCTATCTCTTCCTCACCCTCTCGTTCTTCATCTTTGTCCACCTCTCTGAGGCTTTTATCTGTGCTCTTGTTGGAGTTCCCCTAGCTTGTTGTGGTTTAATGGATTTGCAGTTTGCAGTTTCTTAACAATTCGATGTTATTTTCGCTCTTTCACTTCCTTTTCGCGCTTTGCCCTTTTCGTGTTCAATTTTTTTATACATTCCCCCCAAACACTCTCTAGTTTTTCAGTTTTTTTCAGTTTTTCTTTTTGGTAATTGCTTCCCATTGTTGTGCTTCGATTGCAAAGTTGCGCCCGTTCCCAGGACCAGCTCAGCAGACCCAAAGGATTCGAAGCATTGCAAATTGTGGTGCATTGTGCAGCCAGCTAAACATTTAATGTACCTACCATCAGGACAAAGCTTAAAGCATCAAATATTTATTTGTCCATATGGGCACTTCCGGGAAAAACCCTTTAGGCTGGCCAGCAATCAAAACTTTTGTTTTTATCTTCAAGGTAAATATACTTGAGATATATAAATATAAATTTATATGAAGTCCTTTACACGGGAATCAAAAAAGGGTCTATCAACACTTGCAATTCTATTATTATTTAAACTGATTAATCTTTGAATCTTACTCTTGAGTTTTTGGGACAAAAATATTGCCATAGAATTACTCAACCTAAAATGAGCCCTTTCAAAAATATTTATATCTTTTTTTATTCAAATGGATAAGGTACGACCAAAATGTGCTTGGCTCTGTAGTTGTTCATATGGAATATCTGTGTAAATCTAAAAGTTTTGCTATTTGGATTTGGAACTGGGGGCTATCGGAATCACAGTCTTGCACAAATTAACTCCCCAACCAGCACGTATCTAATTTCATTTCTCACTACATGAGTGCCACATAAAAAACTAATTCAAAGCTCTCAATATAATTTATATCGTTTCGCAGGCTATCTAAAGGACCTGGGACCGATGCTCTTTCAATCGCACACACACACACACACAATCAGTCCAAAAAGGCGAAAGAAATTTTTGTAATTTTTATGACCCCAAAAGACACATCAATTCCAAAGCAAACCCCCGAACGTGGCAAGGTGGGGCTTAGAATGCTGCAGGGGGTTGTCTGTAGGGGAGGGGGGAGCGGGCTTGACTCAAGCAACAACAAACATATTTAAAGATGTAAGCGCAATAAAATAAAATAATAAAAATACAACTTTTGTCCAGCCAACCCACTTACTGGCCCCCCCGCCCCCCCACACCCAAGAACTTTCCATGTTTGTTTGTTTGTTTTGTTATTGTGGTAGTTAGTTGGATTGGGAAGGTGTGGGAGGGGGGGGGGGGGAACTCTACTATAAACTGTTCCAAGTTATCTAAAGTGTTAAATCACCTGATGCCGTCAGCATGAAATTTACGCACATAAATCTTTTAGGGCAAGCCCAAGCTCAGTCCGAGGCCGAGAATGAGCCCGAAATAACATAAACCAAACATAAGCAGGCCCAAGCCCGAACGAGGGTGGTTCGAAAAGTTAACGGATTATGATAAATTGCTAGAAAATAGCCAATTAGAATTTACCACTGGGAAAAGTTATAGTAAAAATTATATAATACAAAAATTAATTATAATAAATATAAATAATATTAATGGAACATGCCTAATAACAATAGGATATATTTGACGATAATAATAAAATGTATAGTACATCAAGAACTAAAATTTCATTGGGACTTCCGTATCTTTCTTTAGATGGATTGTCTTCCGAGAAGACCTATTTCATAGTTTTAGAGAATCAGCTTACAATTGTTAAAAATTAGTTAAATATTTATAATAAATTTTAATTAATTTTATTTTATACACATAAATTTATATTTGTATGTTAGATTGGTAATTTTTAAATAATATTAGTATAACTGAATAATAATAATAAATTTTAATATAAATAATTTTATATTTTCAGGTATAAAATTATATAGAAATTTAAAAAATATTCAGATAATACGAAATTTTAATTAAAACAATTTAACAAGCATACATTAAAAACTATTTATTCATTTAATAGAAACTTTAATTTAAATAATTTAACATTTTTGTCATATATATATATTTTTATGTTAGTCTAATAGTTTTTAAATATTAATAAAGTTGTTTAATTTAAATAATTTTATACTTAATAATTTATTGAATTTTCTATGTATTTCTTTGTAGCACTCTTTCAACTGCCCTCGCACTTGAAGTTGCCCAAAAAGGTTGCCAACAGGCCGTTGACAGTGCCGGGCTCACACCCCCGGCGGCCCGGCGGCCCGGCTTCCACTTCCCAGTCCCCTGGCCATCGATCGCTCTGAGAAAAGGTTATGTGCGTGCTCGTAGGTTTATCTAGGCGGGGTGAGGGCGGAAGGGAGTTTCGTGTATATTTTATAGCTTTATAAAAGTGCCTACACCTGATGAAGTGAAGCGGGGTCAGCGCCAGCGATGAGACGCGCTGTTACACATGTCGGGCCTCAACTTTTGGGGCATAGTATCACATGCTCATTGATTGATGCGGGGCTCGGTGAGTAGGAGTGCGGGCAGAGGGTTGGGTTTGCCGCTGCAGGAAGCTGTTCAAATAGTTGGCGATTGGTTGCGATTCAGCAAATTCAGCTCGATTGCTT